CTTTCAATTAATGGGAGAGAACTAGACAAAAGCCCATAGCCCAAGACATCACAAAGCGAAATTGGAGCTGGATAGGACACACCCTGCGAGAACCAGCTACCAATGTCCAATGTTGCAAAGTAGGCAATTTATTGGAATCCGCAGGGAAAGAGGAAAGTGGGCAGGCCCAAGCAAACCTGGAAGAGGTCAGTCATCACTAAAGCTGAGGATACTGGAATGACATAGGAACAGATGAAGAAATCTTCTCAGAACCGAGTTCGGTGGAGTGGTGTGGTTGCAGCCCTATGCTCCTCTGGGAGTGCACAGGAATAAGGAGAAGGAAGGTGGTAGTAGAACATTAGACAATGGATAGGTATAGATTACATTTTATTGTAGAGTCTCAGACCTACGTTCTCCCGCCCCGATGAGCACATAGAGCAGCAAGCTGTCTCTACAGAGATCGGTCATAGGACTATTCTGACGCCTTTTACCATCTGGTGCCCACGGATTAAGGTTCTTAAAGAAGGTGCGACTCTACGTTAGTGCGATCATTACTGACTAGTGTTTTGTTTCTTTTCCATCTTAAATTTTCTGCAAAGAATGTGATTTATTCAGCTTAAACTTTCACTTACACACAAGACAAACAGGTCAACGTATCCACGTCTATATTACATATTAAATTAATGTCGAGTATCTCTTAAGTGCTTTAATAGAAATCGGTTTTTAAATTGTAATGCGTATTTGAATATACAGGATGTATTTGTTTTTAATTTGGTGTAGTGTACACCATGGAAATGATAGTGTTCTCTCTCTTCTTTCATACAGATTGTCATTATACTATCAGTTATTTTCTAAACAGTGTCTCACTCGCACCCAAGCACACAAAAAACAGACGAAAGTCATATTGTGACTACGATGGGCTGACGGTGACGTTAGAGTCTTTTTATAGCGGGCTCCCCACTAGCCACCACAAAGGCCGTTCTATTTATATCCGGATTTTTTTTTTCTCTTCTTTCAGAAAAAAAAATGGTGAAATCTTCCCTCGCTAATAGTCTTCAGACCTGTCTTGGTCAGCGCTGGACACATGATGACTTCAGTGACTTTACAATCGTTGTGGAAGACATGGAATTTGAATGTCACAGATTTCTCTTAGCTTCATGTTCCGGTTTCTTCTCTTTGTTATTACGAAGTGACATGAAAGAGAACTTGGAGAAAAAAGTGATTTTAAAAAACTTTACAAAAGAAACCATTAGTGTCATTTTAAACTGTATTTATAAAGGTGAAGACGGATTAACACTTGATAATATTCTCGATGTATGGCATGCTACTCACATGTTGGATATCAAATACCTCTTTGAAGAATGTGAACAATTTATCTTGAATAATATAGATTCTCTTAATTACCATCAATTCTTTCACCATGCAAAGTTTCTAGGCTCCTACGCTATCATTTCCAACACCAAGAAATCCATTCTTCAATACTTTGAACATTTCAAAACAACGCAAACCTTCTTTGACCTGTCATTTGAGGAACTTCATGATCTGATTAAAGATACAAATTTGAACGTGAGCTCAGAGAATGTGGTGATTGATGCAATACTGGAATGGGTGAATGGATACCCAAAGGATAAAGACGAAACGACAAGAAACATGGCAACCCCAACAGTTCTGAACGACACGAACGAGTTCCCAGAATATAAAAGTGATACAGACAGTTCCTTTGTTGATGATGAAGTCAGCGATCTTTTACTGGAGAGTCAATTAAATGTTCTGGATGAACGAAAAGGGAAGCTAGCCATTCTGCTAGCCTCATCGAGACTTTGTGTTGCTAGCGAGGATTATCTAGAAGACCTTTTATTTCATCCTCTGTTGACGTCAGATAGGAATGCTTTCCGACTTGTTAAAGAAGCTTTACTTTGCCACTGGAAGCGTCAGCATCACGTCAGCAGTCTTGTGTCCTACAGAAAATGCCAAGACATGTGTAACGTCATGGCTTTTGTCAGTGATGGAAATATTTTCTTCTATTTACTCGACGAAAAAAGGTCGTGTAAAATGCTGCACAAGTCAGCTGGCTACACTCACCTAGCTGCTGTGAACTCTGACCTCTTCCTGTGCTACAGTAAATTTGAAAAATGCTCGAGTTCTAAAAACAAATCTAACTGCGTTCAATATGAATATTTCGATGTGACCACAAAATCGGTCAAAACTTTGGCTAAAATCATCAACTCATCTGGCTCATTCTTTTTATGCAATCAATATTTTATATTCGTCAGTGATTGTCCCATCAGCGAAAAAGTGATCCACATTCAGAACTTTAACCAAAATCTAATTTTTTTGACAATCCAGACAGAGCCGCATGCTAAGGCAGCTTTCATCCACAATGAATGCATCTTTGTATCCCATGATGCTCACCCTGACACTGAGCTTCGAGTCTATTCGTTACAGAAACAGGCTCTAGTGTGTATCAAGAAATTACCGGGTCCTGCAGAAAACATTGTAAGCTTTGTAGACAGAGGCAGAACTTATTTGCTACAGAAAAACGGACATTTGTGGCTCGTGGAATACACAGGAAAAAGAGAATTTGATTTCAAAATGGTAGCGAGGCTGTGGAACTTTTTTTGGAACATGTACGGAGCCGTGTGCTACAATGATGAACTGTTTCTGTTTGGCGAGTTCCTTACAGAATCTGGCAAAAAAGAGTTTGCACCCTTGCCAGGTCTGTGTGATAATATTGTGGTAGTCGAGCATGATTATTACACTCAGGCTGTTCCAATGGTTGTTCCAAGGTCTACCATTACACAGCACCAGATATATCCAGCCTGAAGTCTTAACACTTCTGACTTGCTTATAGTCTGAGTGATCAACTCATATTTATATTGCAATTCTGTGCTACAAAGTTTTAAAAGTTTCTATACTCATTTATAGTAGAACTAGAAGATTTAAATACTTTGATTGGCAAAAAAAAAAAGGGAAAGGAAGGACCAAAAAGTAATCAAGAGCGTTAAGCCTACGAAATACTTCAAAATACTTTTAAACATTTGTGAAACATTACACATGACTACTGACTCCAGATAGGGAAAAGTAGGAATTTTCCTTGAGTAATGGCCCTTTACTGACTACCTGAAAGTTATGAATGTATTGTAATCATTTCAAAAACAAAATTCTACAAAGATTGACATTTTGTGATCATTTTGGTTTAATCACGATTCTACTTTATGGATGATAGTTGTCAATTATTTTTTAACATCATTGTATTTTTCTATGATGTAGTTTTAGAATCATCTATTTTTTAAAACTGCAGGATATAATTTCATTCTCATCAAGTCTTAAATTATTGTTTCAGAAACTCCATAACAAAAATGGCAAAAACTTCGCTAGCATTAAGTCTTCAGACGTGTCTTGGTCAGCGCTGGACACATGATGACTTCAGTGACTTTACAGTCGTTGTGGAAGACATGGAGTTTGAATGTCACAGATTTCTCTTAGCTTCATGTTCCGGTTTCTTCTCTTTGTTATTACGTAGTGACATGAAAGAGAACTTTGAGAAAAAAGTAACTTTAAACAACATTACAAAAGAAACTTTTAGTGTCATTCTCAACTGTATTTATAAAGGTGAAGACCGACTGACACATGATAATATTCTCGATGTATGGCATGCTACTCACATGTTGGATATCAAATACCTCTTTAAAGAATGTGAACTGTTTATATTGAGTATTATAGACGACTCTAATTACATCCAGTGCTTTCGTCATGCTAAGAGTTTAAGTTCACAGACTGTCGTCTCAAGCGCACGAAAGTTCTGTCTTCAACATTTTGAAACATTTAAAACGACACAAACATTTATGGAATTGTCCTTTGAAGAAATCAATGATCTGATTAAAGATACAGATTTGCATGTGAGCTCAGAGAGCTTAGCAGTAGAGGCGATATTAGAATGGGTAAGTGGCTTTTCCAGGAACGGTGATGATAGTGTGATACAAAGTATAGGAGCTTCAAGTCTTTTTGAAGAAGCGAAACACAAATCTGAAACTAATTTGGAACCAAATAAATCCTTACAGGCAAAAGAAATGAGTTGCGGTTCTTGTGACAGTCACGTGAATGTGCATGAAGAAAGAAAGGGGAAGTTATCTATTTTGCTTTCTTCTACAAGATTATGTCTTGCAAGCGAAGATTATTTAGAAAACCTTCTTACTAATCTGCTGATTAAGTCAGATGTCAATGCTCTAACAATGGTCAAAGATGCTCTGCTGTTTCACTGGAAGCCCCAACATAGCTTCAATCTTGTGAACTACAGAAAATGTCAAGACCTGTGCAACGTCATGGCTTTTGTCAGTGACGGAAATCTAATGTTCTATTTGCTTGACGAGAAAAAATACATAAAAATGCTGGATGCCTCCACCAGCTACACTCATATAGCCGCCTTCAACTCTGACCTCTTCCTTTGTTGCAACAAATTTGAAAAAGGTCCAAACAATAAAGGCAAGGCAAGTTATATTCAATACGAATATTTCGACATCCCCACAAGAACCTCCAAAACATTAGCGAAGATATTGAGCTCATCGACTTCTTTCTTTTTAATCAACAAATATTTCATTTTTATTAATGGTGTAGATGTTAATGAAAGGATTCTTCACGTTCAGAATTTATGTCAGAACCAAAATTTTCTGACCATTCAGACAGAGGCGTATGCGAAATCAGCCTTCATTCACAATGAATTCCTTTTCCTGTTTACTTTTGTGTATCCCGACAGCGAGCTTCAAGTCTACACCTTGGACAGACAGGCCATTGTTTGTGTCAAGAAAATACCTGGACCAGCTGAAAACATCGTCAGCTTTGTGGATAAAGGCATCACCTATGTGCTACAGAGAGACGGGACTTTGTCGCGCCTGAAATGTACTGGAACCAGAGACTTTGACTTGATAAGACTAACGACTATATGGAACTTTGTTTGGAACCTCCGTGGCGCTGTCTGCTACCTGGATGAACTGTTTCTCTTTGGAGAGTTTCTCACAGAGGACGAGAAGAGAGAATTTAGTACCCTGCCGGGTGTGTTTGATAAATTAGTGATACTGGATGGCGACTATAACACCAATGCCATTGCCATTACTATTCGAAAGTCTGCATTTACGGTTTAGATGCTTTAGAACAGAGGTTCTCCAATTTTTTTTGCGCCGGGAACCCCTTTAAACAGTCAGAATTTGCCCAAGAACCATTAAGTGAAAAAGGCACCCATCTGAATAGTACTTAAGTTACAAATGTGGAAAAAAAACCATTTTTTTTAAAGAGTGTTTATTGAAATTATAATTTTGTTTGAAATAAAATTGTAAAATAATCAATCAATTAATTTGGATGATGCTGATGAAATGTTTATAATAGTGTCAGGGGGAGGTAATGCCAGAATGAATGTTAGTTTGATATTTTGGTATGATTGTTATATCCCCTTGTTATAAATGCAAAGTGTTGCACGTGTTGTGAACTGAGTGATGAAGTCTTCGTTGAATGTGAGAGAAAGTGTATTAGTCAGTAAGGTCTTGCTCCCGGTCCATGAAGGTTGGACGTTTACTTCCTGGACTGTTGTTTGTTTATTAATATTAATATTTATTGTGCATTATTTGAGCTATATTGTATATTAAAATATCATTGTTATATTCCATCAGATCTGGAGTTAGAGTTGATGTGTATTGAAGTATAATTGTTACTAGTTGTAATAGTTAAGAATTGAGTAATACTTGTTCGTATAAGTGAAACCCCTAGTCAGCCAAGTTAAAAAACACAACAAAACAAGAGACAAGCATATAAATTAGAAGCCTGACAAAAAGTATGCCTATTTATGCCCGGATTAATGTTTGTAAGTAGCAACATCTCAACGAGCACACATTTCTAGTCTTTTTTTTTTATTTGTGACGAGGTTCATTTCGGCAATAAATCCACGTTGCGCCATAAACGAAAACGGGAAAGCAGTCAGCAACTTCTGAACTATAATTCATAATGCACAATCTGTTTTTGTAACTAAAATTCGAGATATCCGTGTTCAAAAAAATGGTTTCAGTTCCTCGATTGTAGATATTTCAGTAAGCTGCTCCTGTGTTAGCATGGCTGCGGGGCACACATCTGAGATCCCCAAGGAAAACCTTTTTGGGATACAGGCGCAGAAGACGAAAAGAAAACTTAAAATGATTAAACTACAATGTATAACAAATGCGCCTGAATGTTCTCCACAAATCAACTCTCCTCTCCTGTTGGTCTCGACCTTGGACTAAAAAGAAAGGAAAACCCTTCTACGTATTCAAGTTTACAGAGACTTATAAATCTCTTTCCCTGACTTCGACATACTCTGAATGATAATCTTAAACGTGTCCATGACAGCGCGTCAAAATTGTATCAAATCTTCTGGTGTTAAAATTAGAGCCAACTGTAACATATTGCTATTATATGTACACTGGCACACTAAAGCGTCAGTGTAGCGCCGCTTGTGTTTACATAATAAATGGTGTTTCTAATATGGCTACCCTCTTAAACACTAGTTTGTTATTTTTGTAACACAAATATTTGTACACCAACAGCTGAGACCTGGCTCTTCTACATTGTGCCCCTTATCTTTTGATATGGCTAGAGCAGAAATATTTAAAGGCTCTTTTATTCTATTGTGAGTGTACATGCATTAAGTACAAAGTTAAAGTTTCCCCTTTCAGACCTTGTGGTCTGTAGGGCAGATGATGTAAAGGTGATCTGTTTCTGTGGCCTACGGTTAATGAGGGTGTTATGTGGCCAGCACAACGACCAACCTTCTTTACCAATTAAAGTCAGGTACCCATTAGAGCTGGGTGGACTCAGAGGCCGAAGATCCCGAAATTAAAAATCCCAGTCTTCACCAGGATTCGAACCCCGGACCCCGGAAGCCAAGCTCTTTACCGCTCAGCCACCGCGCATTAAGTACATAGGGGCTTAATTTGTCAAGCCTTGCTTGATTACGTAACTGTTATTGAGTTTTTTTCTTTTGGTTTATAAATTATTATTGTTATAGTACTGATTTCGAGGTGGATGATTGTAGTCAAACTGAAATTTTGAAACTGTTTCTTCTAATACTCAATGCACTGGGAATATATGTTTATACTATTTTTAAAAAGTTCTTTACTTTTTAAACAACTTCTAAACAAAATCTACATTGTAAATTTAAGAGAGTCAACGAAGGAGCATGGACAGTTGAAGAATATTTTGTCATAACGAAGAATGAAGTGTAGGTATCACAACTTACTACATCGACTGTCAGCCTTGGGCTCGCTTCCGTCACACAGGGAGTCTACATTGAACACAGAGTCTATTTCTAATACTATTTTGAACACAATCTTGCTCTATCACTACGTTGAACACAGTCTTGTTCTATTACTAAGTTGAACGCAGATTCTAATTCTAAGGTTAACCTGTCCCTTCTGGCTGTCCTTTTGTCAGGCTTTACAGCAGCAAAGAAAAAACAACGAATTCCCAGAGTTGTGTTCAAGTGCTACAAACCCCTACATTACCAGGCAGGGCTATGGGGCGCCTCTTTCCTCGTGTTCCAGAAGGCCATACTCTTTAGTTCCCTTCATGCTACTTGGTCAGGAGGAAGTTTTTCTCTTTTCATCTAAGCCAGCGGTTCTCAACCTGTGCATCGCGACCCCCTTTGTATGTCATAGAAACTGAATGCATGTAACTGTTATTGAATGATGAGTAAAAATATCGTGGTATCGTGATTAAGCGTAAAGCTTTGGCAAAGCATTTAAAACATTTACATTATGATTGATTTTTATTGAAAATCAGTTATGTATGCTTATGTAAAAAAAAAGTAGTTTTCTGGTTGGGGGTCGCCAGTCGCCACATAGTGTTAACTCCTTCTCTCCTAACTGACGATACCAGCGTTGATTCCACCAGAATGTGGTAAATAATTACGGAGAGAAAGAGTTGATAGTAAATCAAGGGGCGGAGCTAAACAGGTTGAGAACCGTTAATCTAAGCTTTAAATTCTTGTTCCTGGTGTACACCATAAACTCCGGTGCGAGCGCGGAGACAATAAGACATGTGTAATGCAGATAAACATATAACAACTAAGAACTGTGACATACATTTTGATACAAAAGATAAGATACTTGTTAAAGAAGAGCTGACATCATGATAAAACTAACTACGTCATTCATAGATTATCATCTCAAGGTCAAGCCCGCATAAACAAAAATATATTGAAGTCTAGTGTCTATAAAGCCAATATTACTGGTGCTAACCTCGCTAGTGATATTTTTTAACGCTCTCTTAACGCTTATATTTAAAATTATTTTTATAGAAAGGAAAGAGATAATTTTAACTATTATTGATACTCAAGATTACTTCTAGACGAAATAGAAATAAAATGAACGCTGTAATCTATACCGTAGCTGTCTTTTATTCAAGTCTTTATACTCTAGGTAAGTCCTTTTCATTGTGTTGACGTTTTTGTTTTCATCACTATAAACAAAAAAATATTTTTACTAGAATGATTAAATTTAAAATCGGAGTTAATATAACACGCTCTAATTCAGTTTCTAACTCATCTGGATCAGTTACATGCGTATAGTAATTTTTTTTTCCAATAGATGTTTCTGCCAGATTCCTACTTGATCGTGTTATATTCGCTTCGGACAGGGGTCTCTAAGGTACCGGGTTCCATACACTATAAAAATGCATATACAATGAGCCTAATGTCGACCAACACACGGTCATGTGAAATGACCCAGTGATACCAAGAAATGACCCAGTGATACCAAGAAATGACCCAGTGATACCAAGAAATGACCCAGCGATACCAAGCTGATATCAACTCACTCTTTCTGTCTGGAATCTCGTACACGTTATATCTCCCACTTCCCAATCTGGGACCAAGTTTGAAACTTGCGCAATTATTCATTGCCCCTAACAAACAAACAAAAAATTGACATAGTATTTTATACATTTTTTTAAAATTAATTAAGGGGACATAAGCCTTGTGCAGAGAATTAGATCGTCGCCTAAAAAAATTAAAACTAACTATAGATAAATATAAAAACTTATATTTTCATAACAACTTATCAATCTGAGTGGCTATATAATGGTCTGAGGAGCCTCCGACCTTCGAGTTTGAATTCAAGGCGCGCTACTCTTTTTTTTTAAAATTATTATTTTAAAAAGCCATCACGTAAACCCCCTCATTCCAGACCATTCCGCCCCCAACTGGTCAAGACAAGTGACATAAGCAAATCGCATTGTGTACGCTACAAGCATGAAGTTGCGCTAAAAAAAGCAATCGGTCACAATATTTCCATTCGCACAAATGTCTTATTGTTAGTCTACATTTATTACAAATTAATTAATTGATTATAATAATAATAATTGATACAATTAAACTTAATTTAAGCTTTGTTTTTTTTTTTAAAGAATTTAAAAAAAAAATATTTTACTTGTTTAGCTGATGCATCCGTGATTAAGTTTGAAGCTGAACCAAAGACAATAAATCCTCTACTGACCAAATCTCTGTCACTGCGTTGTTCAGTGCAAACTAAAGAAGCGCTCAGCTCTACTGTGCTCCGTGAAGGTTTGTTGAAAACCTTAAATACAACATTAACAACTAAACATTCAATCACAACTATTACAGCATCATATACGACATCATATTCAACTTCTAGGAGTACCAGCCCGACACCAACAACTATAAGTCCTACCACACCAACAACTTCAGATAGACCAACAACTACCACAACACATTTCAAAACTACTACTTCAACGGCACCAAGAGCCACTTCAGTTCTAACAACCACGGGCGCTACAGCGACAATCCCGTCATCCTCTTCTACAACAACGACCAAAACATCGAGATCGTTATCACAGCCGTCAAGCAACTTTAGCGTAGCTCAAAATAGTACTGAAGTATCCCACGTGACCTCCATCGTCATTAGCAAAGTAAATCAGCTGACCAATCAGATTGAAACAATCGCTGACATCACACCTTTTGAGAACGCCACTATCTCTCCAGCCTTCACGGGGACAGTTCTCGTTGAGGGTAACAGTATGAGGTCCCCACGACCTGGAGAAAGCGGCTACCTTCAAGTGGTTTGGCCCAATCCTGACCAAAATCAGTCCGGGGAATATGTTTGCGAAATATTTGGACTTGACCCCCACAATCACCCAGTAACACTGAGATCAACGCTGACCTTAACATCACATGAAACAACAATTCAAGACCTGGTA